CCATCCTCCTCCCCTTCTCTTCTTGATGTAAACCTCAGTCCCTCCTCCGCCTCCCTCCTATCCCTACCCATACCTCTCGCCCTCTTCCTTCTCCTCCTACTCACCCTCATCTATCGCCTTACTCCTCCTTTCTCCGTCCTCTTTCTCCTCTCTTCTCATCCTCTACCCCTTGCTCCTTCTGCTGTACACCTCCTCTTTCGTTTTTCTCCTCCTTACCTATCGGCCTCCTCCACCGTCCTCTCACCGTCCTCTTCCTCCTTATTTAAACCTCAGCTCGATGTCAAGTACGCATAAGAGAACCAGAATAAATAATCTAAAAATCGTCTATAACGAGCAAGAAAGACGAAGAAGGACGGGAGGTTGATTTCTAAACTACCCATGGCGTGCCGGAAGTACTGTATGTGGCCTTCGTATTCTGCCGCTCACCATTGGCAACAGATTTGTCCACAGTTTCGAATGCCGCACAGCCAGAACTTGCCGATATGTGACTGACTCCTTTATTCTACAATAAGGCCCTCCGTAGCTGTTAAAGCTGAGGGAGCATAGGAGAAGCGCCGTATTTTGGAGGCTGGAACAATGACGCAAGTACTGATCTTGTGCAACAGAAATTCAGGAGACAAAAGCATCCTATGAGTGGCTGGTGATGAACCGTTTAACTGTAGTCCGACGCCTTACGTTTTTTGACCGTAATAAATCCTTCGAAGGATCAATCGATAATCACCAAAGGCACAGTTTGCCCACTTCGAACTTATAGACTGCCATATATTATCTCCCTCAGTGCCTTCAGGTCAATGGCCGTGGATTAGTTTTGCTCGTAGTCCGTGGATTGTGCGTCCGTGCCTCAGTTGGCTAACGAAAAAAACATTGAAGCGCAAGTGACCTGGGGTTCAAACTTCCGACATGACGGGCTGACAACTGGTACTGATTCTTCACCCTGTGGAAGTACAGTGGTCGCCGTTGACCACGTAATTTCCCTTAATTTGCATAAGTTTGATCATTACTCCAATACCAGTGTGAATGTATTT